ACAACTGTCCTACGTTTGAGTGAGTACAGCTTTACGCCGCTTTCGGGAATATTCTTGCATGTTCACGTCGGAAGTTCCCCACTGGAAGTTTGCTTAGTACATGATGCCGTGTGGAGAATCGACCCCGAACCTGCGATTAGACGAGCGAACGCTTTAACCACAAGGCCACACCACCGCTTTGACAATATTAGACACATTATCTAAACCGCAGGTGCGCCATCCACGGGTTGTTGAATGATACGTTCAACGTTCAGAACCAGGTTCATGCCGACCTCATCAACGTGACAATACCTTATGTGGAGGGCAACCATGGAGGTCTGAAGTATTCGTCCTGCGAGATTTTCTCAGCTTCTACAATGGCATCGTCAGGTTTTTCGAACAACATTACCGAGCCATGCCATATGTGGACATATGACAAATCTGTCTACCAATCAACTGTTGCTCAGGAAGTAAGTTGTGTCAAGATTTAGATTCTGTACCCATTACCTTTTAAATAAATATCTCCCTTATGACAGAGCCATTACTAGACATAAAAATCCATAAATTTACCCACATACCATAGTCGATCACCTTCATGGCCCAGTTTATACAGTCTTCCCGATGAGCGGAGAGCCAGTGGTTCGATGTACCCTATAGGTTAAAGCATTTGCCCGTCAAGCCGAAGACTCAGGTTCGCTTCCCCACTGTATTACCTTCAGATGAACCTGGTGTGCGACCGGAAGTTGTATGTAAGTCATGGCAAGATGGCGGCAATGGCTGGGCAGCTGGTTGGAGTACTCATCAGTGGACCGCTCTCGGACATGTAAGTTTGTGTATTATTTGGGGTTTTTTTGGTTTTTATTTTTTTTTATCATCTTTATTTCCACATTTTACATAGTACATGAAGAATGCATTCACATAAGTATATTCATACAAATATTCATATACAATATATCAAGTATATTCAATACACCCTCACAAATCCCCTTCATACAATGAAAAAACGTCTTTGAATATCTTATCTCAGTGATTCCAATACTAATAATAGTAATTAAATACATTTATTATATGTTTTCTGACCTAGTATTTTCTGTAAATAGATTGTGGAAAGATGACCAGAAGGTAAAAAACTCACTGTTGCTGCATGTAGAGTATGCATTATATTTTGTAATTTCATAGTATTTTGATACCTCGCTTACTACATGCTTGAAATTTGGAACTTTTTCTTTTATTTTGTGTGTGTATATTACCTGTTTCACAACAAGACATATTGCATTTAAAGAATGATTGTTTTTCCCTTTAAATCCAAGTAAGATGTTTTCTGGTGTAAAGTCAATGTTACCTTCAGTTACAGTCATTAGCCATCTGGTCAAACCCTCCCAAATCTTTTTAACATGACAACAATTACAGAGTAGATGGACAATTGTTTCTAGTTTTCTTTTGAACAGAATGTACATAAAGGTGTGTCCTTTAGACCGATCCTATTTAAGAAAATATTTGTGGGTATAATATCATACAATATCTTCATCTGTAACCATTTCAAATTGCTACATTTTGTGGATCTTTTTGCCATCATATATATGTTTCGTAGCATTGTGTTATCATACTGTGTTTCAAAGACTCTTTCCCACTTTTTATGTGCATATGACTTATTGTAATTGGAGTCCAGTAAAGAAAGGTAGAAGGTTTTGGTGCCTTTGACCTTTAGATTAAGTTTGGATATATTAAATGGTAGTATTGGTGAGAATGGGAGTGTCTTAGGTAGAGTGATTCGTCTTCTCTTTAAGCAGGCAATTATGGAAGATTTAATACTGTGGTATCTTAAGATATTTGTTTTAACTTGATATATTTTTTGTAGTTCTTCATAAGTATAGAATTCCCCTGTGGTTGGGTTCATTAGATCATATATAAAGTGTATTCCTGCATTGTACCAATTGTTTATAAAATTTGTTTCGTTACCTATGCTCAACATATAATTAAACCAAATACATTGGTTTAACATGTCATTTGGGTTTATTGTCTTATAATGCTTTTGTAAATATGATCCCCATGCAGAGATTACATCTCTCCAAAATGGATTTCTTATGTATGGTTTTATATGTTTTCCCAAATATTCAGGATCAGCTAACCAAAGTCTTCCGTAGTTAGGTATACAGTTATCCACTAATGCTTTCCATTTGCAGTTACTGGAATATAGTTTTTTTATCCATGCTATTTTATGTGCATAAATATTATTCTTAATGAGTGGGACACTAATTCCTCCGTAATCAGGTGGCATAGCTAAAACGTCTCTTTTAATTTTGTCCGGTTTGTTTTTCCATACAAATTTGAAGCAGGCTTGTTGAAATTGATTTATTATTTCATCTGGGGGTGATGGAATTGAAGAAAATAAGCAGTAGTGATTTCAAAACAACATTTCTACCGACTGGAGTAAGTGTTCTTATTGACCATAATTTCATTTCCTTTTCTATCTTTTTGAACTTATTATCGTAGTTCAGTTTCACCATTTTGTCAAGGTCTACATCAAACAAAATACCCAGTACCTTGAAGTCACTTTGAGTCCAATCTAAGTTCCAGTCTTTACAGAATTTATATCTACATCTTTTCTTTGAACCTATCCAGATCAGTCTTGCTGTTTTATTTGTTTTCGTGTTGTTTAATAACCTATTATTTCATGGCGACAGATTGAAATGCTTAAGATGAAGAAGAAAACGAATATTTGCCATTTTATTTTGTTTATTCGATTTTTTATTCTGTCATCAGCCGGCGAAATTCTGACTGTATCACCGTGAACTGTAAAACAATCTTGGCCATACAGAGCAGTCGTTGGTGTGAGGGGGTCTTGGCAAGAATAAATCCCAGAGCCCATTTTCATGTTAAGTGGTTCCTGGAATATTTCATTTGTATGGCGGCATATAATAATCGAGGCCGGACAGACAATGAAATGATTGATATTGTAGCAACGATCCACACCCTCGGGACATGATGACCCCCAAACGAAACATGGAGCCTGACAGTCTGATCTGTTTGGTCACTTCTTCCAATTTATCAAACGTTGCTTGGGAACCTGTTCCAACCCTGAATCTTCACTGAGAAAGGAAGACGCAAGGTGGGGGTGGGATGAATACAAAGTATGAATGTGTGTTGCAGGTTTGGTCGGCGGAAGGTGCTCCTGGTGGCCATGTTTATTGGTATACTCCACAGCATTTGTCTCCCCTGGGTCACCAATTTCTACGCCTTCATCACAGTAATAATCATCATCACAGCCAGCTTCAACACGCAGTATCTCACTAGCTTTGTATTTAGTACGTTGTTCATTTCCTCATATTGAGCATATACAGTGACAGCCTGTTAACTCGACCAATCTCATTTCGATTAGAGGACGCCATCGAGCGATACCAAAAGGTTGGATGACTCAAAAACCACGTGACCCAAATAGTTCACATTTGCCAAACTCAACACACTCAATCATGACACAAGTTTACAAACCAAGTATTTGTACATGTTCTGTACATACACTCCACTGTCTTTCTTTCGTATTTTTGAAATACATGTAGAATTATACATGTAGCTTTCTCTCATAGGCTTGGAGATTGTTGGCCCGTCCAAAAGGATGTTGGTGGGCGTGGCCAAGAATCTGTTCTGGAGTGCGGGAAACATGATTGTTGCTCTGACGATCTACCTGCTCCGAGACTGGAAGACCAGACACCTCGTCGTCAGCCTTACAGGCGTCATGTTCGTGTATCTTTAGTAAGGAGGTTTTCAACTGCACTTTCAGTACCTTCCTTGTGCGTAGTGCGTTCTGTAGGTGAGTCAGAATCATAGAATCATGGGTGCGAAACGTTATTATATATTTTAACACCACGATACCATTGTGCATGGATTCCATCAATTGGTCAACACCTCAAACCTGCATCATTTCGGATTTTCCTCCCACGCTCACCAGCCCCGCCATGCCAGTGCTGGAATACTGTTCAAAGCTGAATTAGATCCAATTCACCACTTTGATTGTACGAGGGATTCACTCAGTCCTGTTGGCCTCAACATATAGGGTATATCTTTTAACATATATGGTATATCTTTGTATACTAAAAGTCATTTTGGTCATAGAATGTTTGACACTTGGTTAATAAAATCGCATCCAGCAAATTCTAAGGTTATCACCCACTATAAGAAGACTCATTAGCTTAGACACACATGAACTCCTTTTAAGAACAGCTAGGTGCTTCGCCATGTACGACTCGGCACTCGCTGTGAATATAATTAATTAATTTCATCTGCATCAGGTATTGAAGGCAAAGGTTGACTTTGCATTTGGGGTCAAGCAAAATTATATCTCCAACTAAAGTAAAGCCTGCCCCTCAGTAACTTCTTTGAGGTATGGAGACTCTGAAGACTGTAAATTATTTAACTATGTATTGATGTTTGCTAAATTTATAGTGTATCGCTGCAAAGTCACTGGAAGTGATTGTAATTTTGACACTTTCATAAAAGATCTAAAATAACATTATAAAATACTGAAACATACCAGAACAAATGTAAGTGAGAAAGTGAAATCTTTATGTGCATAGTGGTTAACACTCATGACAAGTGTATATCTAATTTGTGACTAATCATTTTTTTAACCACAACACCCTGGTATGTCCATCCCCGTCACACTGTACAGGGGATGTAAAATCGTGGAATTGTATTGCTAATAAATGATGCTATAGAAAAAAAAACTTCTTTGAGGGACGTTTAAATGTTGGAGCAGTAAGGAAGGATAACAATATATGGATGAATGTAATAATGTAACAAAGAACTTGTTCATCCGGATATTGGTATCCTTCCTTACTGCTCCAACAGTATACGCCCCTCACAGAAGTTACAGAAAGGCAGGGTTTACTTTAGTTGGAGATATAATTTTGCTTGACCCCAAATGCCGTCTCTCTGTGTTCGGTACTCCAGTTTCCTGCCGGAATCCCCCTCGGTGGCAATACAGTAGAGGTAGAGTCGGAGAGGCTAACAAGACCGTGATGAAGATGGCAAAGGCTAACAAGGTCAAACTGGATGAGGACTTCACTTGCTCAAACGACGATGATAGAGATCAACAATTCTGGGAGTTACTGAAATCCCGTATAATGATGAAACGGATCCTCATTATATTTTACAGTTGGTAAGTGTCCTGAGGGGAAGGTTGGTTTGTTGGTTGATTGGTTGGTTGACGCCGCACTCAGCAATATACCAGCTATATGGTGACGGTCTGTAAATAATCGAATCTGGACTAGGCAATCAAGTGATCAACATCATAAGCATCGATCTACTCAACTGGGTTAGGCTGACATGAAGGTCCGGGTTAGAATGAACCTTCAGTAACCCATGCTTGTTGTAAGAGGCGACTAACGGGATCGGGTGGTCAGGCTCGCTGACTTGGTTGACACGTCATCGGTTCCCAATTGCGCCGATCGATGTTCATACTGTTGATCACTGGAATGTCTGGTCCAGACTCGATTATTTACAGACCGTCGCCATATAGCTGGAATATTGCTGAGTGCGGCGTAAAACTAAACTCACTCACTCACTCAACAATTCACAAATAGTCCGCAGTGTCTGTGGTTTTGTGGTTGATGTACATGTGAATTTTGCTGATTTTCTGCATTAACACGTACGTCTATACAAACGAGACACAATTCTATATTTATCTATATCAAGTTTTCTTCCAAAAAATTGATCATTGAAAATCATCAAGCCCTGATTTATGGGAATTATTTATCTTTCTCTCAAACTTGTATCATACATTAATTTCGCTTTCTCATCTCGTGTTTTCTCTTTCTGGTCTGGTGTTATCGCTTTCTTGTGGTCTAAATAAAAACGATAAACATGTACCACCAAAGTTGTCGGACATGCATATTGCTATGGTCTGAAAAGTTAGAGACTCAAATAACCGGATTGTGTTTTTTAAGGTTTGCCATAGGAATGGGTTTTTACGGCCTCAGCATGAATGTCACCAACCTCTCTGGCAACGTCTACCTCAACTTCTTCCTGTTTGTCCTGGTTGAGACCTTCGCTTATGTCATCTGCCTGGTGCTGGTGGAGCGCACCGGGCGCAAGAGGATGCTGTGTGCTTCTATGCTGATGGCCGGAGCAACATGTACCCTAACATTTATACCTTTCTTCGTTACAGAAAAACGTAAGAAACCACTGAGGTTTAGAAATCTCTCAAAGAAGTAGGTATTTGGAAATTATTGATGAAGTAATATGGCGATCAATATTTGTTCTCTTAAGTGCTTAACCAACTTCATATATTTGCGGGGCGGCGGGTATACTAGTGGTTAAAGCGTTCGTTCGTCAACCCTAAGGCCCAGTTTCAATTCCTAACATGAGTACAATGTGTGAATCTCATTTCTGGTGTACCCCCGATGTGACATTTAATTGCCGGAATATCATGAAAGTGGTGTAAAACTAAATTCACCCACTCACTTTTAACAAACATGAATGAAGAAGAAATTGAAATGTCGCTTCTTTTCCATCAGCAAGCTCAAGTTTTAAAAATGCATGTTAGATAGCTCAACTAATATTCAAATGCTAGTTTTCTGTTTCCGGACATTATCATTCACTATCTATTCACAAGACTTTGGAAGTGTCAAATATTTCCCCAAAATGTCACCTCACGTTATCATTGTTATAATTATGTCCACCTTCAAACACTCCACACTTGAGGACTGTATGGAAGAATATGAATTCAGTACTAGATTTAGAATTTACAAACACAAGGAATCATGGTGGTTTTCATGTTGTAGAGACATATCAGATATTTTGCCAAATCGACAACATCGCTATCCCAATCCAACCACCAGTACAACATTTTCTCATTGATTGAAAAATATTATATTCATTCAGGAAAAGAATTAGCCACAAGTTATGCAACTTAGAAAAAGCCTATCCCAATAATTACGCAATTCATCTTACAACAATGTGCACAAGTGACAGGCATAGGCTAGGATAATCGTTTTGTTTGAGAGATATATATTTGTACATATTTGAAAACATTCTGATTTTCAGTAATTGTGAGACCTGCATTGCCATGTAAGATAAGATTGATATCAATCGGTGTTCTATTTTTAAGAATATTTTCAATAGGTCTTTATGTCTTTGAATAGTATACAATGGAAATTCAAGGAAGTAATGACAAACATTCTCACATCCATGGTCACATTGACAAGATGCGTCTTTTTACATTTATTCTAAATAAATCATAATTAAGTGTATTTGTCCTATATTTTAATCTAGTGTGCAAAACATTTAACTTCCTTATTCCATATGAATAATATACTACCCATCAAAAGTTTAGACTCACTTAAAGCACTCACTATATGTTATTCATGTATGTGTGGTTACATCGAAGATGAATTTCTCCTCTAACTTTGGGGAACCAACTGCAAACTTTATGCAGATGTTTGTTTAGAAGAGTTGACTTAAGCAAGTGGCTACATGTACACTAGTGAGTCGAACCTTTTAATGGGTAGTATACATAGGTGCACACTTTCTTTCACGTGGATATAAGATTTAAATGATGCAACAGAGTCGCAACTAATAACTAAGGGAATATTATTCCACATTATAACTGCTGATGAAATAAAAGATGATGTTGAGTACCTTATCTTTTCTCATGCATCAATATATATGAAGTCACTGCGAAAAAGTCGACATTACCAAGCAGCTGCAGCAACAGGGGGATCCTTGGGAAAAGGAAAGACTGAAAGAAGTAGTGGTAAAATCCATCCTGAATTTACAAAAAGTTACAAACTTTGTAAACATGATCTTTACAAAATTTGTTTAAAAAATGAACTTCACAAATTGTAATCTTTTGTAAATCATCTTTGTTATTCTTGTGAGTCTTGCTAAGAATGATTTGCTTAAGCCTTTCGCTGAGCATCTTTGAGGTCAGATTAAGTCCCAGCTTCATAAACGGGCGTATTGTATCAGACAAGGCTCTGATGGTCAGGGTCGGATATTTGGTTGACTGCATGTCTTCATACTTCGATGGCATGCATGTTTTTGTCAACATAGGGCGGTGGGGTAGCCTAGTGGTCTTAGCGTTCTCTCGTCACGCCGAACTTCCGGGTTCGATTTCCCACATGGGTACAATGTGTGGAGCCCATTTCCGGTGTCCCCCGACGTGATATTGCTGGAATATTGCTAAAAGCAGCGTTAATCCATACTCACTCACTCACTGGTAACAGACTTGATTGTTTACAAAGTTAATATTGTTGACTTCGGCGTCATTTAATCACCGATTATCTCGTCAACGTGTACTTCCAGCTAACGCGTGGATCATCAACAGTCTGGCGTGTCTAGGCAACACATGTGTGTCAGTTGGTTTTGCCTCAGTGTACGTCTTCACGGCAGAGCTGCTGCCAACTACATCACGAAACTTTGGAATGGCCTTGAGTTCCGTGTTCTGTAGAGTTGGAAGTTTATCATCACCGTACATAAACGACCTGGTAAGTCGACGTTACCTAACGTACGGTTTTAAAATGTTTTAAACGGTTTTAAGGTGTTCAGATGAGGTAAAATATTCCATCGCAAGAGTGTTAATTGAGCTATTGATATGAAAAGTCGCAATTGTAAATTATAACAGAATTTCTTTCATAAAATGAAACGACTTTATCAAATTCTTGACATCAAAAAGACAACTTATTTCATGTAAATGATAATAAAAAATCATGATTATATGTGAAACTAATATTTGAAATAGCCGAAAGAAATGATGAGCAATGTATTACTATAAGAGACAAAATTATCGTACTTTAGAATCAGTGAAATCAGCCGGTTAATCGGGGACTGGATATGTTATAACGCCCCCCAAAAGGGTCCGAACAATTATTTGAGCTGTCAGTCCAGGTTTAAAGAGGTCAATGTGCGACGATGTCGGATTGACCACACACGATATACTCACGCATACTTTATTAAAAGGCGAGGATCCTCCGTTTTGTGATGACGATGTTCTGCTTGACTTTATTGTTTTTCCATCACAAGGGATCAATATTTCAAAGTCAAAACAATGAAGGATCTTTTTATTATTGCATTTTAAAAAGCTATAGAACAATTTCATAATATGTAATTAACATGTTTTGCAAATAGGTGAATGTTCATTTATTATTGGTAGACTAACTAGGAAGTTGAGGTTGTAAGAGGCTGTATCCCCAAGGGAGTTAAAGTGCTGTAAAATCATTGTCCTCCTGAGAGGATACGTAAGTCCTAGGATATTCAAAGCACATTTAATCTTACCACGTTTCTCATCGTAGAATATATGTCATTTTGTAATATATGTAAATTGTCAATAATCGCTAACATCTGATCATGAGGGAATGGAGTAAATCCAGCTTCTGTCCACGCAGGTAGCCAAGGTACTGTAAGTCCCCATGGTCCCTAGCATGGCGATCTGCCTTAAGTTGTTGGCGATCTGTAGCCCATTTATATTTTGTGTTGTTCTGTAAAGAAATATCGTTTTATGATTTAATGCTGTGATAGTCTAGTTATTTTACTGTCCTTCGCGGACAGATATGTATATTGTTTGATCGTATTTTTAAAATGGAACTCTCATAGTCACGGTGTGGCTGAAATACAGCCAATGTGACTTTAAATTCTTACTCACTCACTCCGAACATTTAACGTTTAACGCTCATTCGGAACTGCGGCATAGTCATATATATCATGTTTAATTGTTACATGTAGCATGAGTAAACTAATCACTTGCCTTCTTCAGACTATGCACATCAGTAGCCGATACAGTCAGATACTGCCCATGTTGGTGTTTGGGTTAGTGACGGCGCTGTCAGGACTTCTGACTCTTCTTCTCCCAGAAACGAAAAATGCAACACTTCCGGAGACAATCAAGGAAGCAGAAAAACTCGGAACGTGAGTGAAAAAAATATGCCCACAAATATGAGTAAACGTAATATGGATGTAGAATACATATTGAAACATCTTATAACATCCGACCAGTCACACTGAAAGATGAACTGCTCACTAAGCCTGATCCAACTGGAGTACTTCTACCTCTTCTTTTCAGTAATGGAATGAATATGTTGCAGTAAATAATTAATTCAGGTTTTCTTGATCAGAGTCGATTGTTTACCAAAATATACAACATTAATTCATGTTTTCTTGACCGGACTTGATTATTTAGAGACCATATAGCTGCAAGATGCAAAGAAACATTATCCATACCAACAGATGTGCCTATGATGGAGCAGCACGTGGACAAGACACGATTCTCCTGGACAGCAAAGACTGCAAATCTCCCGATGTATGAAGGAACTGGATCCGAGAAGAACTTGTGGATTTATGGCGCTATACATTCTAAACATTCTACATATAAACATGTTCTAATGCTTAAAGTTAAAATTTGCCGGAACCGAAAATAATACGTCCAGTTTGAGAGAACTTACAGTTAAAAGATGACCAGTTATGTGGAATACTCTGTATTCTGTTTATATGTCTTTTTATGCTCAAGTTATATATGTTTTACAATAATGATTCTTGTGGACGTATACATATTTAGTGTCTAAATGTACTGCAATATCAATACTAACTTACAATTGATGTATTAAATCTATTGATTGGAACGAATAATAGAATACATAAAAGTAAAACTGTACCCTTTTATATTTTGCGATTTCTAAACCCACAGTGCAATATGAAGAAACACGATAAGAGGAAATATGGGTTTGAATGCTAAAAAATAATTTAAAAAATATACAAATTAACTGGAAAAAATATAGGAACACTTGTATTTTATGTGTTTCCTTATTTGTTTTGGTCGCTGGGGTAGCATAGTGGTTAAAGTGTTCGCCCGTCACGCTGAAACCCATTTCGATTCCTCACATCGGTACAATGTGTGAAGCTCATTTCTGGTGTCCCCCGCCTTGATATTGCTGGAATATTGCTAAAAGTCGCGTAAAACTAAACTCACTCACTCACCTTATTCGTTTCCGTCAATATAGTTCGGACATTTATAGAGGATGTTTAGTGTACAGGAGTTTATTAAGTGGCATCTTCCGACCACAATATATAGTGAAGTACAAAAGAAAATACACATCTGCTGCTTTAGGATCTAGAGTAAATATTTTGAAAGGTGTTCTGAATGTGACTTACTATAACCTTCTAGCGCCTCACAAGCAGCTTGGGTTATCCGGGGTAATAATCAACTGTCTGTTTGTATGCGCGTCGAGCATGCACTTGATGTATGGAATTTAGCGCTATAGAAGTACACATCAGTATTACGTGTTGCCAACAAACCACAGTTACGTTTGGGGTCAACATCACTATTTTAGTACCTTTAAGGCATATTAGTTGATGATGGCAGTAGACTCAATGCTCTCACTCATATGATAATTGATGCCTGTACTGTCCTATTGTCAAAGAAGATTCGCCTTGTCCGGAATAACACGAGTGTGTCACATCGGAGCACCTACATACTGAAATACTGCCGATGTGACTGGAAATCTTAACTGACACACTTACTGAACCTTGGTTTGTGTGAGAGAGAGTTCAGAAAACAGAAACATTTCTGTGAGTATGTGCAACACTGCGCATCTTTTTGGAACATTATGAGTGTTATTTTGCATTAATCTAGTACTATTTATATTAGAGAATAGACTATAACAAAGGGGTACTGAAATGACAGACGACAAAAACGTGGGTTCTGTGTTTGAGGCGATTGTGCTCAGAAAAGAGTGGGTTTAGTCTTTGAAGCGATTGTTCTCAGAAAAGAGTTGGTTCAATCTTTGGAGCGATTGTGCGAAGTCAGAAAAGGAAAACTGATTGAACGAAGAGCCCTACAATAACTTAGAAGTAACTCTTCCAATGAGGCACAGAAAAGTTATTGATGTCTGGTTTGTTCTGACGTAATATGTAAATGTATAACAATACCCACGCTGTTGAACACGGCCTTTTTATTGTCAGCAAATCATATACAATATGTATCGATATGAAGGTTGCTAAAACAGTTAAGCAAAAATGTTAATAAGAATCTTTTCTTTATCAGCTAGAAAGTTGAAAAGGATATGTTTTACTTCATAAAAAAGAATAAGAAATTATATTGCCTTTATATGACGAGCAGCATTTGGAGTTAATTACGGAAATGTGACATCAACAATAGGGCCTTTTTTTTCCGAAAAATGATAATATATCTTAACATAGTTCATAGCCTCACCTAGAAAACAAAGTTGCCAGCCTCACCTACAAAATTATACAAATGCAGCTGATTTTATGTCTTATTATTCTACATAATATCTGTCAACCTCAAAGAAAAAAAACCCCGCAAAATCTGTAATAAATGCATCACAAACTTCAGGATACTAAATATGCAAGAAGCATTTTGTGTGTCAAGATTGAGTATTCTTTTACACTGATTTTTAATATTTGTTATGCGTACATTTTGTAAATGCTTTCTGAAGATCTTGTTTTGGTTCGTTTAGCCTTGTTTCTTTGCATGGTGCTTTTGAAAGCTCAAATCGTCCAAACGTTGGAAAAGACAAAGTATTACCCCTCTATTCAGACGAGCATATTCAAAAGCTTTCATATAACCAATGACGGCGGTCTGTAAATAATCGATTCCGGGACATTCAAGTGATTAACATCGAGAGCATCCATCTGTGCGGTTGGGATACGATGGCAAGCATCACCCAAGTCGAGACCCGTGAAGATCCGGGGTAGAATAGGTCTTCAGCAACCCATGTGCTTGCCATAAAAAGGCGACTATCTTGTCGTAAGAGGCGACTAACGGGATCGGGTGGCCAGTTTCGCTGACTTGGTTGACACATGTCATCGGTTCCCAATTGCGCAGATCGATGCTCATGCTGTTGATCACTGGATTGTCTGGTCCAGACTCGATTATTTACAGACCGCCGCCATATAGCTGGAATATTGCTGAGTGCGGCGTAAAACTAAACTCACTCACTCACTCACTCACTCACCCAAGTCGACGAGTCTGACCACCCAATCCTGTTAGTCCTCTCTTACGACAAACATGGGTTGCTGAAGACCAATTCTAGCCCGGAACTGTGACGGGATAAAACTAATAATTCAATATGGTCATTAAATCTAAGGCTGACCATTTTAAAATGTTTATCTTTTCTTTCTTTTCTGTCCTTCAAACTATTTTTCATTTCACTCTTTATCTATTGCTATCACTTGTGATGTTATTGTGTACGAAATCCTAGTTTCATTGTGTGATCGTGTTTAGTTTAAGTGTCTGCTTGCATTGTTTAGTATGTTTGTCTGTTCTATTTGCTTGCTATATTTAGCGCCGCACTAAACATATTCCAACTGTGTGACAGGGGACTAACATGAGTCAGCTATATCTGCATAACAGTATGTAATATTCACACAATGTACAGTTATGTATACAGGTGAAAAGAAGACAGCTCTTCTGTCTGACCGTTGACCTGAACTTGAGTAGCTGCAACCAAGTCTGTGCAGCATTTTATCTGTAATATATGTCGACTAATAAGGTCACGTTATCAATGTCCTCATAATAGAATGGGAAAGGGTGTCGCTCATTGTACCTGCATGAACACTGGCAATCAAATCCGTGACAGACGTCTTAACGAATTGTGTAACCTGTCGCGCTGTTGCAAGTACTCACGTATCTGTGACATGAAACATATCCCATGTGCAGGAAATGTTGACTGGTAATGGAAGTTCCGCTGTTCGTCAACATGACGGGAACCTCATTTAAATTAATTACAAGTTGCCCCAGAGACGTTAAACCTATCTGAATGCTGACCGAGAAAGCAGCGAAGAGTCGTTTGAATATTGCAGTTGTCCAATGAATGGAGCATGACTCACATTGACAAAATAACCACGAATTTATTCATTTGTCACCTGGTTTTGTGATGACAATAAACATACTTGATTGTTAAAATATATAACCAGTACTACCATGACCCAATGGATCTGTGTGCACTCGATATTCTTTCTCAACTCCTTGAGTGTTATACAGTCGCATTGCCAGCTCATTTTACCGGGGACCGCCTCCGTGGTGTAGTGGTTAGAGCGTCCGCCTACAGAGCGGAAGGTCGCGGGTTCGATCCCCGAACGCGTCATACCAAAAGACGTTAAAATATGGTACTTGTTGGTCCCTGCCTGGTGCTCGGCATTAATGGGTACAACAAGGACTGGTCGGCTCGGAGTCAGTATAATGTGTCTGAGTGGGGTATTATGCTTCACTGCGGCATGGTATCTCAGTGGGCTAGCACTATAAAACCAGCTTCAGTCTGGGCTAGTACAAGCAGCCGCACATACCCATACACACGCATGCACGTCATCATATGAGCGAAATATTCTCAAGCACGACGTTAAACCCAATTTCACCTCACCACCTCATTCTACCGGGTACCCGTTTCCCTGCTTGGGGATCAGATGCTTGTCAAGAAAAAGTCATTTGCCTGATGGAATTATAAAGTGAAACTATGGCGTTGCATATCTTTCAGCACGATATTCAATATGATGACTTCAATTGGAATGTTTTAGCTGTGCTCGCTAGTTTTATATTATATCTGTGATTATCTAGTATTTTTACTGTCCATTGTCGACAGGTTTTAATCTTCAAAATGTTTTCACTTTTTATTGTATAAATTGTTTTCGTCACGACATGGCTGAGATATTGCCGATGTGACGTTAAATATTAACTCACTCACTCACTCAATATGATGATCCTGATCATAATAATTTAATTCAGTATATGTAGGCCGCGGACCTTTAGGAACATACATATAGAAATGTTATGATGAGAGTGTACAACGAATGAGATGATGCGCTTCAGTACAATAACCAGCGTTGTATTTGTTAAATTGTATGATGGGTACCCCCTGGCTCTTCCCCGTAACCAGTTACTGACAATTGTGTACACTCGCTTAGTGTTCAGGCAATCGCAATTAACGACATGTCACATCTGTTCCTCACACGTGTATATTTTCTCTGTGTGCTGGTTCACCTCATTCAATATCAAGATGCTTTTTTAAGGAGCTGACCAACACGCAGTATCCTTTTGTTCACGAAGACATTATTTTGGCATTCGACTGTCGGACTATCGACTACCTTTACACCTTGTCAGGTCTAATCATTCATTTCTCCCATGCATTGTGGGCTAGCTGGCTAAGGCGTCAGGCTAGTAATCCCGCGAGCTTGAGGTGTCGGGATCGAGCCCACCTGTGACCGGGTGTAAAAGCCTTGGAGTCGACTTTGTGTGCAGACTCTTTCAGTGTTGTCACAACCCCTAGTGTACAGTACACAACCCAGTGCACTTAAAAGAACCCAAGAAGCCGTTGGTATATGACCAGATGGTGGCCACATGATCACGTGCAAACACCCAACACGTACAGCAACGTGCAGTAAACGTGGACAAAGTACTGTGACTATGTGTCCCAGTCCACCCAGCTGTAAATGGGTACGTCGTAAGGGTGAGAAAGCTGCAATAACTCGGTGCGTACCAGGGAGTTGAGATTAATATGATGTGCTGTTGAGCTTGACATCCATTGATCGAGTGAAAAAGGAAATACCACCGCCTTGAGCATGCACTAGTTGCCTGGATATGTTCGCTATATAAATATCCTATAATAAAATAAAAATAATAACAATACTGTGTATCCCTTGCTTGCCCACAAGGCCTAGGTGTACAAAGGGAATAGATCTGTGTATCGTTTTGTGCAAAAGGTTCATTTGTATAAATCGTATAAAGTTCTTTATTACTGCAGTTATAAATGCATTTTCTTCAGTGCTAAACCCTTGGATGTATTCTTCTGCAGTGTTAATAATTCATTCTCCTTGAGGGCTAGAGGTAGATATGCATTTGCGTAAGTGTTGTAGTTTTAGATGTATTCTACCCGTGAAGGTCCGGGTTAGAATGAACCTTCAGTAACCCATGCTTGTCGTAAGAGGCGACTAACGGGATTGGGTGGTCAGGCTCGCTGACTCGGTTGACACATGTCATCGGTTCCCAATTGCGCAGATCGATGCTCATGCTGTTGATCACTGGATTGTCTGGTCCAGACTCGATTATTTATAGAACTCCGCCATAAGGCTGCAATATTGCTGAGTGCGGCGTAAATCTAAACTCACTCACTTAGATGTATTCTTCTTTACATCTAAAGATCTGCATTGTTTCTTGAGTTTTCAAGTTTTAAATTCATTCTACTTTAGCACCACCCAGGTCATAGGTGCATTTCATAAGAGGTGTATATATGTAAACTGTTCTTTTGTGCTGACGTTTTAGATGAAATCTTCTACAGTGCTTTAATGCATTCTTTAGTGCTGAAGTTTTCTGTTAATCACTGGATGAAAGATAGGGTAAATTGCACGGGGCAAGATGTTGCAAGTTACAGAAGCTCCCAATAACCACAACTATACTTTCCTAAAGTAAGATAAGATACGAACCAAACCAATACTCTTGTTGAACGCGTCTCGGCACAGACTGCATAAGTCGACGAAGTCGCTGTTGCGGAATTCTTCCCCACTCTTCCTGCAATGCGACGACCAGTTGTGGAAGTGTCTGAGGCGTGTTTTGACGTTGACGTAAACGTCGATCGATCTCATCCCATAGATGTCCTATCGTGTTTACATCTGGTGATCGGGAAGGCCATGGCGGTAGCGGACTGTGACGCGTGTTGCATGTGAAGTAGCGTTTTCATGCTGGAACAACTCCCTCTGTCGGTCCATAATCGGAAGCATATGACGTGCAAGGACTTCGTTGATGTACCGATTTGCTGTCAAATTCCCCTGAACCACCACTAAATCAGGTCTATATGTGCTGGATATCTCACCCCACACCATGGCACTTTCTCCACCGAATCAGTCGACCTCTTGAATGCAACTAGAGGCAAAACGTTCATTTCTCCAACGGTAAACATGTTGTCTTCCATCTCAACGGTGAAGAAGAAATCGTGATTCATCACTGAACCGCCCCTAGTTTCTAAGGTTCCAGTTCCTGACTCTACGACACAACCGCAACCGATTGCGCCGATGGAAGTCTCTCAAAACAGGGGTGACAACTGGCCTTCTTGGTCGAATCCCCACTTCACGCAATCCATTCCTGACAGTTTGGTCGGAAATTCTACTCAAACCATGGATGCGCTGTGCAGTCTCCACGACTGTGGCAAGACGATAACGCAAGTGAGCAACCCAGATGTAGGGGTCCTGGGCTTGGGTGGTATCTCTTGGACGGCCGCTTCTCGGGCGATCTTGTGCGGAATTGGTCTGCAGAAAACGATCCCAAAGGCGAGATATGGTGCTCTGGTGAACGTTGAAATGTCGAGCAATTGCAGACTCCCCAGCTTCAAAGCGGCCAATAGCGATGTTCCGATTGGCGGCACTCGGTCGTGGCATGGTGATTTCCTCTTTTCCAGGCAAAAACGAATGTCAAAATTAAACACAACTTTTGCCTTTTTAAAGTGATCGATACCGCATGTTTTTCCTCTTACTTGCACGTACAGTATCCTTTACATGTTTTCTTGCAATTGGTGTCGTTTTGGCGAATATTTCTTCAAACGCTTCTAAAACAAGGGAAAATGTTAAAATTACCGCGTTTTGGCGCTGAAGCTGTTTACAATCACACGAAGATGACATTTTGGAAAGGAATAGTATATTTGTATTGTTTTTTGCCACATATGCAGGAGTCCAATATTCTCAAAATCACCTATGCGTTTCTTTTTTCTTTGAACAGTGTACATGAGATTCCGAACAAAGCCGCAAATTAATGAAAAGCGCCAATACCCTAAAATCAACACAATTACACCCTCTCTATGACCTGCTGTACCACTTGCATCCTGAGAGATTAACTCAGCACTGGTTTGATATCAGGTTGATGTACTCAAACAATGTCAACAATATGTAAGTATGCCCAATATACTCACACATCTTGAACCAAGAGATATGATGTGTGTGACAGACGAACATTCCCGATGCCACTGCGTCATGTTTGGAATATATATAAATATTCCTGTCATTCGCATCTCTTCCAAACACTTGTACCAGCTGAGAATTGATCGTTATTCCTCCATTATGTCAGACCTGTATAAAATGCACATAAAATGCGTTCTTTCCTTTATATAATACATGTAAATACTTCTATTTAAGCCCCCGACGCGTCATACCAAAAGACGTAAAAATATGGTTCTTGTTGGTCCCTGCCTGGCGCTCGGCATTAATGGGTACAACAAGGACTGGTCGGCTCGGAGTCTGAATGTCTGAGTGGGTAATTATTCATGCTTAACTGCAGCATGGTACCTCAGTGAGCTAGCACTATAAAATCAGCTTGAGTATGGGCTAGTACAAGCAGCCACACATACACGCGCATGCCAATAATAGTTTGGTCACTTAAAATCTCTTGTTTTTCAAAACATTTGGTTAAGTCGCCTATGGGCATACAATCCCTCAAATTTAACAAGAGGGAGTATATAGAAATACTCTAGTTCATGTAGTGTTACTGATGTCATACGTTATCACATCTGCCTGCTTGCTTGCTATTAAATGAAAAATACAAGGCCAATGTTGTTCAAGACCAAGAGGAATAAAGACCACAGGGGATATATATTTTTTCAAATGCATGCATTGTTTCTTCTACAACAAAAGTCACGGAAACATTTCCTTAACCATAGGCAATATCTGTTTAAGTAATCCAACTCTGTAATGCGACAGAAAATGACAACAAAAGCTCACATTTGACTACACTAAGTTTATTTTACTGCACTTGATTCTTTTAAGGGAATGGGCTGACACATCTCCGCGGGCAAGATCCACAACACTTTAATTTACTGTCGCAGTCAATGTCCTTGCTGCACTGGTGTTGTTGCTCACAAGAGCCTGTCCCGTGGGGTGGAAGCCAGGGACAGGTGCCCGGCTTGTCTGTGTAACCGACGGGGAGAATACATTTTTTATGACAGCCTCCGCAACACTTTAGGTCGCCATCACAGTCAGCGTCAGAGGAGCATTCCGCTACACAGATGCTGATTCCACCCGGATTCAGAACGGGGCATGATCCTGGTTTTGCTAAAACAGGGAGGTTATCCAATGTAAATACATTTGTCAAAACCGTAAAGCTATTACACGTAAAGAATGTGGGTTAGAGTATTTTTATCTCTGGCCTCTATCCCTGTATCCCATACCCCGGAAAATATATCAAAGTAGTCCAACTCAAATCTAGCATGATTGACATTTGTTTTGAATTGATTTGAATGTTACGTTTCTTTTGTGGAAATATATCAACTGAGGTAACTTTATTTCTGGGTCTACATGTTAGTCAACATGTACATGTATGGTTAGATGAGTGTAAAAACATATACTGCTTCACTTTTTGGTTAAACTCATATTGCTTTCTTACATGTCGTGTAACAAAATGCAGATACCTCTTTCTATTTACTCACAGGTTGGTGGGACCTAACACTAGAAAAACATGATGATTCACAAACATTTACAATTTGTAAGTTCACATTTACAAAAAATACCAATTTTGTAAAGATGATATTTACAAAGCCTGTAAATCTTTGTACATTTAGTAAGGATTTTACCACTTCTTCTTTCAGTTTCTCCTTTTCCCAAGGATACCCTGTTTTAATATGATTTAAACATATTTATGTTTCACAAAACTGAAACCGAGAAAGGCGAACAAGCCTAGTGGCTTATATGAACGCCGTTCTAGTACGTTATTACCATAGCTAGATTGATAAACGAAATAATTTAACAACAATAGAATATTTCTGAAATAAGTATTTGAAAAACATCATACATTATATCAGATATATGATTGAATAATGAATATGTTCGTTATGGTGTTGGTTATTCACACCAGCGGAATGAGCTGCAGTTAAAAATCCAATTACATAAAACTTGAGGTACATTGCATATAAATTCAGTGGTGGTAATCTCTGTAAGCCATTACTTGTAGAAATGATAATGAACTGGTGTTATTCAATGCACCGTCACCGTACAGAGTAGCTTTGACATCGTATCCTTGAATATAAAAATACATATTTGTTCTTAAATTTTGATATTTCCGACATGTGAAAAGGTAGTGAATAGCGTCTTCGTTATAATGACCACATGAACACTTGGATGTTTCCGATATACAGTGTATGTCGATTATATCTGTCTGCGTTCAGATCACTACAGCCGAGTTTGAGGCGACAATAGATGATTTGGAAAAATCTAGTCCCAAAATGTCAATCAAAGCAATTGGGAGTTTTGTTTGTCATGCTTTTAAATTGATTCAGGAAATTAGCGTCATCAGCTTCATCGGGCAATGAATTCTACGACATAATCGCGATCGGTAAAATGATTGACAATATCTTTGCGTTCTTCAGTTAATTGTTTGAATGGAATAACTGTTTCTAAGATATAACTGAGAGAACATTAATAAATCCTTCAAGTTCAAATGTACTTGTCTAGGTTCAGAAATCATGGGATATTTTCTTTCCTTGACCTAATGATCCAAGGAATGCAAAGGATCGCTAGTTTTAATTCGCTTTAACCGTAGTTCGTCACACGCATCTCGACTTCAATATACAGCAGGTGGAGGGGAGGGGGACATATTGAGTGAGTGAGTTTAGCTTTAGGCAGCACTCAGCAATTTTCCAGTTATATGGCAGCGGTCTGTAAATAGTCGAGTCTGGACCAGACAATCCAGTGATAAACAGCATGTACATCAATTGGGATACGATGACATGTGTCAACCAATTGCAAGTCAGCGAGCCTGACCATCCAATCTCGTTAATCGCCTCTTACGACAAGCATTGGTTGTTGAAGACCAATTCTAACCCGTATCTTCACGGGCCGGAGGTAAAATAATTTCGCTCCATAAGTGTGTTCATTATAAACGTATACGTAGTTTACTGTATGTTATTTTACAAACTCCATCGCATTACTCACTTGTTGGAACACGTGTTGCACCTTCCTGTAATTTGCAGACAGTTCCTTCTTCACAATGGACTGCCTATATGGACGGAAAAAAATGGACTAATTTCTTTTCAGTTTCCTTACGGCTGGATACACATGTTTGCAGGTGTTGAAGATGAAAATTCAACGTTGAATATTTGATTTCTGTTAAAAATTGGGTTCTGTTTTATTAAAAACGTCAAAAAGAATTTACATTTACATAGCTGTATTCCATCATTACTGACATCAGTTTGCTGTTGAACCTCGGATGAGACGATTTGGTCGGTTGGTTGTTTAAAGCTGCACTCAGCAATATTCCAGCTCTATGGCGGCGGTCTGTAAATAATCTAGTCTGGACCAGACAATCCAGTAATCAACAGCATGAGCATCGATCTACACGATTGGGATACGATGACTGTGTCAACCAAGTCAGCGAGTCTGACCACCCGATCCCGTTAGTCGTCTCTTACGACAAACTAACCCGGATGTTTCCTGGTTCAAAACAGAATGGAAAGAGAGGTCAGATTTAAATTGTACTTTATATCTGCGTTTGTTTAAATTCTTTACAGAGTTATGTCTTCTAGGTCTTAGGATCTGCTGGTCATGCATGGGAACCACATATTCATCCCAAGTTTAGTTCGTTTCAGTTTTCGTTTTAGCAAGTGGTAGGGGCATGTTTGTTTTCCATAAACGTATTATTGTTCGTTATATACGTACATGCAGTTTACTGCATATGAGCTGTCAGGTTCATACTCACATCACAAGAGCTTGGTAGTTCTGTTGAAAGAGTTACGGAAACCACCGCTGTCAGCACTAGAACTGCCTGCGAAAAAATAGTGAACGGACTGTATGTAAACTACGGTTACAACGATATCAAAGGGACGGCTAATATGAGTTCGACATAACCGTAGAACCGTCAGTTCGATATAAACGCAGTTCGCTGTGTTTTAAAGTAAATGTTGGTACAAGGCATCTTCACTGATGACGGTTAACAGTAGTAGTGATTAGTGAGGCTGCTTTTTCATGCGAACTGTAACAAAATAAATCAAAATACATATTACGGCGGGACATATCAGAAATGGGCTTCACATATTGTACCCATATTTGAATTCGAACCCGGGTCGTCGGCGCGACGAATGAGCGCTTTAACCACTGGGCTGCCCCACAGCCAACGTGATCATTAGATTCCTAGATAGACTCTTCAAAGCAAGTTGCGTCACCTGTTGCTGTAATTATGGGTAAAAGCAAAATATTACTAATCAATTGATTGATTCAGATTGTTAAGTTGAATAGAAACTATGAAAACATTTGGGGTAAATTATGAAATTTCAAAGCTCTCAAATATACAAAAGCACGAAAGCAGTTCTACATACCGATATGCAGCTACTAGGTCCGGCCATATTGTTCCTTGCAGTTGATAGCCTACACGTGGAGTTTCGGCGACTTATATAACCCGTTACAGATCCTGTTTTGCTGCCAGCGTCACTGACAGAAAACATCCAATGAAAGACCATGCTGACATAGGCAATTTTAAAATCAGTAGATCTGATAGGACTGCGGGGAAATTTCATTAATGATGATGTCATACTTATTGTTCTGACATTACAGTAGTAAACGTGTCATCTTCACATTATTCTACATTTACAGAGTTTATGTCGTCAGTCAAATAGATGGCTGCATAATGATGAAACAATATTTTACGCTGTACTCAGCAAAAGCGTTTGTTATTATGTGCATCGGTCGCCCGTATGCACGATTTCGATTTGTCTGTTGTTTGGTGCTGCACTCAACAATATTCCAGCTATTTGACGGCGGTCTGTAAATAAACGAGTCTTGACCAGACAATCCCGTGACTGGCATCATGACCTCCACCATTTGGATGCCTGACCACCTGATCCCCTTAGTCACCTCTTGTGAGAAGCGTGGGTTGCTTCTGGCAAGTGAAACATGAAACGTTGGCCATGGACATTCGGCTGAATGAGAACTGTCGATCCCTGTCATTAAAGAAACAACCATTTGAAAGACTTGCTGGTACACTGGTGTGAGTTTCTTTCACATTATCACGGTATTGTTTCGTTATGGTGCCAAGGTATTGTTTGCTATGGTGTCAGTGTTTTTTAACATTGAACCAAGAAAGAAACGCAGCTTTTATTCATTCTCATAGACTGTCTGACTGACATGTATATATATATTCGATGCAATGGCGCGACTTATCACTTTATATTCGATTAGGTAACATTATCAACTTTAGATTAGAAAATAACTAGTAACAATTCAGTAAGCTTCAAATTAGTAAGTTAAATTATGCCTGATATATTCGAGCTTGGATGTATAATTATTTGTGTTTATACATTATGTTTCATTATGTGAAACATGACACCGTAATAATACCTAAAAAGTATATTCAAACTATTCTATTGTGTTTGAATTCTTTGTATGTCCTTGAAATTTCGTATATTGTTCCCTATTTATTAGGAAGTTGAAGAAAATATAATCTTCAGTAACCTCTAAACCATTACATCTAATTCAATCAATGTGCATACGAAGAAATTTAGTATCCATTCCGAATGAAGAGTACCAGACACTTACCTCTGTAAGAACATCATAATTCCCTTTCTCGCCGACATGTGTTCATTTGCCAAACGCTGTACAAGCCTATGATAATGATTAGCAATTGCTGTCAAAACACTTTAAATACTTCTTCTAATTGACACTAAAGGTAGCATCTCTCGTAAGAAAAGCTAATATTTGCTCAGTACTACTAAAATGGTTGAAATAATAGGTACAGTGCGATTTTAAAAGTACGACACACATTTGCGTCTTTCGCTGAATAAGAGGTGCTTTCTGTTGACGAATATATGTGGCTCTCGCTGTGAGAAACTGCTAATTACCTGACCCATAAACACGTCACTCGCTGTGAGGAGCTGATTATTTTGCCCCATATATGCGTCTCTCGGCCTTAATGAGTTAATGGCAGGATGTTTAAGGATAAAAATGGTGAAAATACTTGTATTACCCATAACGGGTGCAGTGTTGTTGACTATATGATTGCTTCATCTTGTCTTTTTCCTCATATCACAGATTTTGGAGTAGGTACACTTGACATGTCCTGTCACTTTCCACTACACTGTCCATTTGACATCAACAGACATAAACAAAGCTCTGACAAGAAATCTATATCCTATCATACACACAACATCCCTGATGAACCTAACACAGTAAACACAGAAACGACTAAATGATTTATTAAGTTTTTATGGAGTAAGGACACTGACAATAATTTCATTAAAACTTCACCAACACCGATAATAATGTTATCCAACTCTTATCAACATGATAAATAGTAACACTGACAGGGCTATACAATATTTAGTAAACCTGATCTACCAAACTGCAAACACACTAAGAGACTGTACTCTGGGGTTATGAAACAAAGAAATATTACCCACCCACCCTGGTAGGACAATGAACTGGACAACATTACACAACAGAAATACACAGCATTAAGGTCACATAGAGACTACAAAATGGCCATTTCTCTGTTCAGAAATTTACGATTCATCTTCAAGAAAACGTTTTTAAAGAACAGAAATGAGTACTTTGGGAAACAGAAAGATAGACTAGTAGAGGCAAGAAAGGTCCCTAAATTATTTTGGAAAATACTTAGGGAAAACCGGAGTTCACAGGGTTTATCTAACCAAATCACAGATGAACAGCGGGTAACACACTTTGTAGAACTCCTCAGTGCAGATACTCAAACAGACTACACCTCCCACTGCAGTACTTCCAACATGGACTCCTCATGTACACTAAACAGACTACACCTCCCACTGCAGTACTTCCAACATGGACTCCTCATGTACACTAAACAGACTACATCTCCCACTGCAGTACTTCCAACATGGACTCCTCATGTACACTAAACAGACTACACCTCCCACTGCAGTACTTCCAACATGGACTCCTCATGTACACTAAACAGACTACACCTCCCACTGCAGTACTTCCAACATGGACTCTTCATGTATACTAAACAGACCAATAACAGAACAGGAAATATTAGTAAGTAGTTCAAACTTGCCAAATAACGAGGCACCTGGACCAGATGGGCTTGCCACAGAGTTTCTTAAAGCAACAAACCATAAGATTATCAAACCACTTATATTTCTTTGTAATAATATTTTGAATACAGGACACTTTCCAAACAGCTGGGGCAAGAGCATCATACACCCTTTACATAAATCAGGAAGTAAACATGACACAAACAATTACAGAGGCATTTCACTCATTGACACACTCTGTAAGATTTTTACCTCAGTTCTTAACAAAAGGCTACAAATTTGGTGTGACGAAAATAACATATTAAATGAGGACCAGGCAGGTTTTAGAGCTGGTTACTCTCCTGTGGATCAAATGTTTGTTCTCCAGGCTGTCATTCAAAAGTATTGCTGCAAAAAGAAGGGATGATTCTACTGTCTCTTCGTAGATTTTTCAAAGGCATTCGATACAATTAGACATGATGTTCTTTTATCCTCTTTACATAGGGCTGGAGTATAGGGCAAGTTTTATAATATTATTGCATCAATGTATTCCAATCTATCAGAATGTGTCAGAACTAAACATGGCCTTTCATATTGTTTTAAATGTTCTGTAGGTACAAGGCAGGGATGTATTCTAAGCCCACGGATGTTTCTTATATTTATTGATAATCTTTATAAGAAATTAGAAATTGGAGGTAAGTCAAGGAATCTTCATTTATCAATTTTTCTCGAATCTATGTGCACTTACGTTTGCAGATGACATTTCGGCACTATCTGAGACGTGTAATTTGCTTTAAAAGAAATGAAATGTTTTAGAAAGTTTTTGTAATAGTACAGGGATGAAAGTTAACTTTAACAAAACCAAGATTATTGTCTGTAGAAATTGGGTGTGTGTGTGTGTGGGGGGGAGACTCTTTGTCATTATGAGAAATGGTTCTATAATGGTTCCCCTGTTGAAACGGTTTCTTTTTATAGGAATTTGGGATTAGTTTTCAGCCCCAAGACATGTCTTGAATCTCAGGCCTCTAAAGCTATAATGTCTTTAAATGGTTTCCGGAGGAAAATTGGTAACATTTGCACTGATCAACTTAATATTTTTGATTCAGTGATTGTGCCTATTCTTTGTTATGGCTCTGAAATTGGGGAACATGTCATTCCAAAATAGAGGCTGTGCAAATTAAATTTTGTAAACAATACCTAAGGGTGAAAAAACTACATTAAATAGTATGGTTCAGCATTTGTACATTCAAGAGTGATCAAATTCTGGTGTAGACTTATACATATGGCACAAAATAGACTCCTACATCAATGTTATTTAATGTTAACATCATTAGATATGTTAGGTTATAATACCTGGGTAACTAAAGTTAGACACATACTGTTTCAATATGGATTTGGTTATGCTTGGCTAAGCCAAGAAATCGGAAATGTGGAATACTTTGTGTATCTATTCAAGCTAAGGCTAGGTGATAAGTTAAAACAGTCTTGGCTCTCTTCAGTTAGTGAATCTCCTAAATGTATATTTTACAAGGAGTTCAAAACTTTGTTAAATGTTGAAAGATATTTGTGTGTTGTGATATCCCTATGCATTTAAGAATTGCTATATCAAGGTTTAGATGCAGTATTTGTTTTAATACTGCGGTTGAATGTGGCAGGTATAATGGAATTGAATATAACGAAAGACTATGCCCTTTTTGTACAACCAGACACCAGCATTATATAGAAAATGAATATCATGTACTATTTATCTGTAATGCCTATGGTATACTTAGAACGAAATATATAACAAAGTGCACTAAAGAACCACTTACTCATTACTCTGTCGTAAAGCTTTTGCAAAGCAAAAATGATGCCGTTATATACAATGGCCTATACTTATACCGTGTACAGAACTTTATAAACTCCAGGACATAGAGCTGCAAAGTTGTTTTGCGCACCCATTAAAAGACAATGTCAGTCTGATTGCATTATGGGCGAAAGCCTCTTTACTGAATAAATACTGTCTGTCTGTCTGACTGACTGTCTAAAAGCCTGAAACAGAAACGTTAATGAAATACGTGACAACACTGTGAAAATATTAGTTGTGGTACTGAGCGCTGTGCAGACATGAACATCAGCTTAAACATGATCTGAATAATGTCGGTTGAATACGCCATTCATCGTGTGAAGCAGCTTCCAGCTTTCTGTACAGGAGGATCCCTTTGTTGCACACAACGACCAGTTATGTCCCAAAGGGATTAAGATAGGGGCTCATTCAATCGTGAGATATGTCAGGGTGTGGTTAACTAAGTTCTTTGTGTATATAATTACTTACCTTACATGTCAAACCTTGTAACCTGATTGGACAACGTTTTATTCCAAAATACCAGTACCCCGCTATCGAGGGGTATAACTGACTTTCGTTAATGGG